TACACCCAGAATATAAGGTTGGTTTCACATTTGAAAAGCAATCACCGTAATTCAGCAAATAGAATAAAGGAGAAAAATAATAGGATCGTTTATCAATTTGCAGAAAAAACATTTTACAAAATTCTACACCTTTTCATGATTTAAAAAGTCTCAAAAAAACTAGAAATAGAAGAACAGTTTCTCTGATAAGAGAAACCTACATCTAAAATCATATTTAGTAGAAACTGAGTGAACATTTTCCCCTTATGATCAAGAACAAGGCAAGATCTTCTACTCTCATCACTTCTGTTCTGTATATTGTGGAGATCCTAACCAAGACAGTAATGCCAGAAAAAATAAAAGGTATAAAAATTGAAAAAAGCAAAAGTTGAAATATTTATTTACTGAAGACATGGTTGTGTATGTAGAAAATTCTCAGGGACCTAGCAAACAACTGCTAAAACTCATGAGTGAATTAAGTAAGGTCATAGGAAACAAGGTCTATATAAAAAAATCAGTGGTATTTCTATATACTAGTGGCAATCAACTGGTAAATGAAATTTTAAAATTCATTTTCCATCATGTCATAAAATACATAGGAATAAATTTAACAAAATATATGCAAGACTTCTAAAATGAAAACTGTAAAGCATGTGACCTGCCTCTTGAGAAATCTTTATGCAGGTCAGGAAGTAGCAGTTAGAACTGGACATGGAACAACAGAGTGGTTCCAAATAGGAAAAGGAATATGTCAAGGCTGTGTATTGTCACCCTACATATTTAACTTATGTGCAGAGCACATCATGAGAAACGTTGGGCTGGAGGAAGCACAAGCTGGAATCAAGATTGCTGGGAGAAATATCAATAACCTCAGATATGCAGACTACACCATCCTTATGGCAGAAAGTGAAGAAGAACTGAAGAGCCTCTTGATGAAAGTGAAAGAGGAGAGTGAAAAGGTTGGCTTAGAGCTCAACATTCAGAAAACTAAGGTCATGACATTGGTCCCATCACTTCATGGCAAATAGATGGGGAAACAGTGGAAACAGTTGCTGACTTTATTTTGGGGGGCTCCAAAATCACTGCAGATGGTGATTGCAGCCATGAAATTAAGACGCTTACTCCTTGGAAGAAAGGTTATAACCAACCTGCTGCTGCTGCTACTAAGTCACTTCAGTCATGTCCAACTCTGCGACCCCATAGACAGCAGCCCACCAGGCTCCCCTGTCCCTGGGATTCTCTGGGCAAGAACACTGGAGTGGGTTGTCATTTCCTTCTTCAATGCATGAAAGTGAAAAGTGAAAGTGAAGTTGCTCAGTCGTGTCCAACTCTTAGCGACCCCATGGACTGCAGCCTGCTAGGCTCCTCCGTCCATGGGATTTTCCAGGCAACAGTACTGGAGTGGGGTGCCATTGCCTTCTCCATATGACCAACCCAGACAGCATATTAAAAAGCAGAAATATTACTTTGCCAACAAGGGTCCATTTAGTCAAGGCTGTGATTTTTCCAATAGTCTTTATGTGTGTGAGAGTTGGACTATAAAGTAAGTTGAGCGCCAAAGAATTGATGCTTTTGAACTATGGTGTTGGAGAAGACTCTTGAGAGTCCCTTGAACTGCAAGGAGATGCACCCAGTCCATCCTAAAGGAAATCTGTCCTGAATATTCATTGGAAGGACTGATGTTGAAGCTGAAACTCCAATATTTTTGCCACTTGGTGTGAAGAGTTGACTCATTTGAAAAGACCCTGATGCTGGGAAAGATTGAAGGCGGGAGGAGAAGGGGATGATAGAGGATGAGATGGTTGGATGGCATCACTGACTCAATGGACATGAGTTTGAGTAGGCTCTGGGAGTTGGTGATGGACAGGGAGGCCTATCATGCTATGGTCCATGGGGTCGCAAAGAGTCAGACACTACTGAGCAACTGAACTGAGCTGAAAGCATTGTGAAACAAATTAAACAAGGCCCAAATAAATAGAGATAACATGCAAGTAGATTGAAAGAGTCAATATATTTCTCCTTAAATTGATCAATAGATTCAACACAGTCCAAGTTAAACTCTCAATAACTTTTCTTTTTTTAGCAGAAAATAAGAGGATCTTAGTATCTGTATGGAAAAGCAAGGGCCAAACAGATCTTAGACAAAACCAACTTGAAGAATTTCTTTACCTAGTTTGAAGACTTACTGTGAATCTACAGTAATGAAAGCAGTGTGACATTGGTGTAAGAATGGGTAAATGAAGCAAATGGATTAATATAAAGAGTCCAGAAATACACATATATACATATTTATAGTCAATTGAGTTTCAGCAAAGCACCAAGACATTTCAGTGAGTAAAGAAGTCTTTAATAAATGATGGTAGGGCAGCTGGATAAACATACAGAAAGGAAAGAACCATACACAGTACCTCACACAGTACAGAGAACTTGATATGAGATGAATCGTAGGCTAAATGTAGAAACTAAAGCTGTAGAGATGTGAAAGGAAACAGAAAAGTATTTTCACAACTTTGGAGTAGGTGAGGATCTTTTTTAAGACAGAAAGCACTGCTGTAAATAATGATCAACTGGACATCATGAAAATTAAAAATTTCTGCTAATTAAAGCTCATCATTAAGCAATAAACTAATCTAGATAAAGCATATGTGAGTCTTCTGTGTTCTATTCTTGATACTTTTCTCTCACTTAGAGATTTCCAAATAAAAAGATACCATTATGATAACATGCAGGAAAATACTTGTATATATATATATATATATACATGTACATATATATAAACACAAACATATACATAAATGAGATTGAACACTAAAAGCTGTACATTTCAGTTATACAGATCTTACCCCAATAAATAAAAGAGACCATATCTGTTTATCTTTATGATATCTATTCATCATGCATGGTAGAATGTTGACCCTCTTGTAGGCTCCTGTTGTGCACAATACATATATTTTAAACTCCTTACCTTAGCATAAATCCCCAGCATGATTTGGGCTGTTACCTCTCCTTTCTGTCTCACGTCTCTCTCTTACCTGTTGAGTCCTAGCCCTGCTGACTTTACTGTCTGAAGTAGTTTATTTCTTGATGTTTTCTAGTTCAGTCTCTTTTTTTGTCTCCATCACTGCATTTGGGATAACTTGCATTTGTTTTATCTCATTATACTTTTTTTACCTGCCTTTTCCACTAGACTAGAAGCTCTAGGAAGGTAGCGATCCTGACTTTATCACTGTTGTATTCCCCAGTATATACCCAGGCTGTTGCTTGGCTCCGGGAATATTGGTTGAAAAAGTGAATGAATGAATGTTCCTATTGTTCCATCTGTTGATAAAGTGGGAGTATACTCAGATAGCCCTCTGTTTGGAGTTTGGTCCATACCTCTTCAAATAAAAATGACATAGTCTTATCCCTACAAGCAAAGCAAACCTTAGTGAAATGGTGTCTCAGATAATTTTTTGGTTGATGACAATCAAACATTTTGTTTGATTCAAGGGAATTTTTTGTTCTCATTTTCTTTGTGGAATTGCTGTATGTATAGTCTTTCATCTCCTAATCAGTACTTGATACTGAAGAGAGTGAAAAGCAGCCCTTTTGACAATGCCTTACAAACATACTTGATCCTGAATCCTGTTGGTAAAATGTGTGAGCACACTAACCATACAGATACATTTATTATTTCAAATATATATAAACATGTTGCTCTACTATATATGTAATGAAAGTTACATAGATACAGTTTAAAAGGTTGGTATGAAAGGTGATCTAATATTTTTTGCCTCCCCTCCATGTGTTGCTCCCACTTTGAAGAGAGTATCTTAGGGCAGATATTCCACATTTTCTTATCTCTGTGAGGGTAAAACCTCAGTAGTGTTAACACTTTTGCATTTTAAACCTTAACTCTGACAATGGCTTGAAAGGCTTTATTGCTTTTTAAATGAATTTATGGTATTGTTTAGTGCAGGTAGGATAGAATTTTTAGGTCTGGGGAATATTCTGAAATCATGTCTCCTAATATTTACTGTACCTATTTTTAACATTGTTCAGTGATAGTTTTCATGAGATTAGAAAAGTGGGAAGGGCAGGCAAGGGATAGGTCTGGAAAAGCCTGTGTTGATTTACACTATAGTTAATTACACTATAAATATTGGTAGCTGTATATTTGAATGAAATGTCTCCTTGAGGAAGTGCTAATTGTAGAAAATTAGCAGTTAGTGCACCCAGACAAAGTTGCTCAAAAATAGGGTAAATACCACTATTATTGGAGAATAAAAAGACAGTTTCTAAGGAAGCATCAATAATTCAGTATAGCAGCTTGAGACAGGTTTGGATATTTTAAGCCTGCTCTGTTACCTCTGAGACCTAAAAGAAGCAGAACATAAAAATGAGCCTCTATCAATTTGAAGCAAACCTAATCTCTGTGATCATAGCTGTGGTCTAAATCTATTAAAGATGTTCAAATTCAGTGTCCTTGGTATCACTGTGGGTTGACCTGTGTAGTGAGCAATAAACTTGTGTATTATAATTCTGGCTTGAAGATATGTGCTTAGAAAGTGAAACTGACAGTCAGTGTTTTGTGTCTGTCTCTAAGCAGGCCAAGAGCCTATATAAAATGACAGGTGAATTTTTAGGAAAAGAAACCCATAATGTTTTCCTATTTAGTAGGTGACAGTATGTCCCAAGATAACACAGGCTTAAGGGGCTGGAACAAGCATGGTTATTAAAGGCTAGCAGTTTCTCAGTTCATACAAATTGAATTTTTTCATAGGCTGGAAGACTAGTAATATAGGGTAGAGTACTGAAATAAATTAGCATATTAAGTGAATTTATACACTCAGGCATGTGAGCACTTTGAATTTAAGGAAGACATTTTATTACTTCTTCAAAGAAAAAGCAATTTTTAAATCCTGCATTTGATCTCCCTGTTGAAAAGGGCCTATATGATAGATTATATCATCTTGATGATTATCCAAAGAAGTGGTTATTATATTGATGGGAATCTTTTTCTCTTCTCTCTCTTTTTTCAGAATTACTGATTTGAGGAACATAAAAAGAAGATTGTATTTATCAACAGTCCACAAGGAATTGTCTTCAACCCCTCTTCATGCAAAAATCCCACTCTTCATGATCAAGCGCAAAATTGTAAGTGTCACATGAATATTGCTTAAAATATTAAATTTATTTCAGTAAATATTAATCCTGGGCCTACTCTGTATATGAAGCATTTGTTAGCTTCCATGATTGTATTAAAAATGAATAGATGTATTCTCTTCCCTCCAGTGAAAGAGCTTAAGATTTGTGAGGTGGAAAAATATAATTGTTTGAATATCTAGAATATCACCAAAACTGTGATAGGAAGCATTGTAGAGAGAGAAAGTGCTGTTGGTACAGTGAAAGGGATGGAAATCGATCTGACTGCAGGATAAGAAAAGGTTTCACAATTATACTCATCTCACACACTAGTAAAGTAATGCTCAAAATTCTCCAAGCCAGGCTTCAGCAATATGTGAACTGTGAACTTCCAGATGTTCAAGCTCGTTTTAGAAAAGACAGAGGAACCAGAGATCAAATTGCCAACATCCACTGGATCATTGAAAAAGCAAGAGAGTTTCAGAAAAACATCTATTTCTGCTTTATTGACTATGCCAAAGCCTTTGACTGTGTGAATCACAATAAACTTTGGAAAATTCTGAAAGAATGGGAATACCAGACCACCTGACCTGCCTCTTGAGAAAGCTACTGTATTCAAGTCAGGAAGCAACAGTTAGAACTGGACATGGAACAACACACTGGTTCCAGATAGGAAAAGGAGTACATCAAGGCTGTATATTGTCACCCTACTTATTTAACTTATATGCAGAGTACATCATGAGAAATGCTGAGCTGGAAGAAGCACAAGCTGGAATCAAGATTGCCAGGAGAAATATCAATAACCTCATATGCAGATAACCCCACCCTAGTGGCAGAAAGTGAAGAAGAACTAAAGAGCCTCTTGATGAAAGTGAAAGAGGAGAGTGAAAAAGGTTGGCTTAAAGCTCAACATTCAGAAAACTAAGATCATGGCATCTGGTCCCATCACTTCATGGCAAATAGATGGGGAAACAGTGGAAACAGTGGCTCACGTTATTTTTTTGGGCTCCAAAATCACTGCAGATGATGATTGCAGCCATGAAATTTTAAAAAAGCTTACTCCTTGGAAGGAAAGTTATGACCAACCTAGACAGCATATTAAAAAGCAGAGACATTACTTTGTCAACAAAGGTCCATCTAGTCAAGGCTATGGCTTTTCCAATTAGTCATGTGTGGATGTGAGAGTTGGACCATAAAGAAAGCTGAGTGCCAAAGAATTGATGCTTTTGAACTGTAGTGTCAGAGAAGACTCTTGAGAGTCTCTTGGACTGCAAGGAGATCCAACCAGTCCATCCTGAAGGAGATCAGTCCTGGGTGTCCGTTGGAAGGACTGATGCTGAAGCTGAAACTCCAATACTCTGACCACCTGATGTGAAGAGCTGACTCATTGGAAAAGACCCTGATGCTGGGAAAGATTGAGGGCAGGAGGAGAAGGAGACGACAGAGGGTGAGATGGTTGGATGGCATCACTGACTCAAGGGACATGAGTCTGGGTAAACTCCGGGAGTTGGTGATGGACAGGGAGGCCTGGTGTGCTGCAGTTCATGGAGTCGCAAAGAGTTGGACACAACTGAGTGACTGAACTGAACTGAACATGAAGGAGATTGTTCTTGGGATGGACTTTGAAGGACTGTATTAGTAGAATTTCAACAGGTAGAGATGAAAGACTGAGCATTTCTAGCATACGTGAAAATGTGGAGGCTGGAAAGTGCTGCGTATTTGGAGAACAGAGAATGATGCATCATTGTTCCCAGATTTCTTAAAGTAGCCTTAAGGAGACCTCAGTTCTGTAATCCAACAGCCTGGTACAGGTTGGGAGATTTGTGTAACCTCCGAGACGCCAAGTAGAGTAATGTATAAGTAGGTAAGCAGTAGGTTACAGGCTAATAAATTTCGGCCTGATAAGACTGACTAGTCTTTTTCAAATGTCAGTCATTTCAGTACTACTCTCATGACTTTACCATGTTTGGATACTAACTGTTCCAGTGTAAATAATACTTTTCCTTTTAAACCAACTCAACTTTTTTTTTTTCTTAAATTTATTTTTTTAAGTTATATCACACTTATGAATGGAAAACCAGTATAACTTTCCAGAAATAGAAATTATCCATTAACAATAAACATACTGAAAACAGTATTTTAGAGTCTAGCTAAGTACTATTTCCTGTTAAGGGTTCTGTCCTGAGGCCTACTCTTTTATTAACAGGAGTTTATCAAGAGTTAGATATATGTTGAAGCATTTTCTTGGGCATAACTAGGATTGAAACAAAACTGATAGAGGGTAATTTTTATTCTGTGATCCATAGCCACTTAATGCCATGCCCATGAACAGTCTAAAACCATTTCACATACAATGCATATTTCACTCTTTGGGAGCCACTTTAGAGAGAAAAAGAAGCAGTTAAGCTTGGTTTGAAGAGAACATACAGTCCATTCTGTACTTGGGAAGATTAATCTGGTAATGACATTTGGAATGGCTTGAGGGGACTAAAAAGTGCAGACGAGGAAAACATATGCAGTACTCCAGATTGGGATTAATAAGGACTAGGGCAGTAGCAGTGGAGGAATGGATGTGAGATAACATCAGAAGCTTATGGTCCAATGAACTAAGACATATTTAAACAGAGTGGTTCTGTATCATGTAGTACATGCTGCATGAGCAGAACCCACAGTGACTGCGGAGCACCAGAGGGATGGTCAGAGAAGAGCTCCTAAAGAAGAGGATGCCTGAGTTGGGCCCTGAAGGGTAAGATGGCATTAACTAGCTTGAGTGGGGGTAGTATTCCTGGAAGAAAAGGAGTAGCAGTGAGAGTAGCTGCGTGAGATGTGCAGTAAGTCCAATAACTCAGTGTTACTCAAGAGAGGCGGTAGGAAAGTAGTAAGGCTGGAGAGGAGAACTGGGCAGTCTCTTGATGGGCCTTGTGTTTACAGCCACAGATCCTGAACTTCTATCTCACAGGTGATAGGGAGCTACTGAAGGGCTTGCAGGAGGAGTGCCTGGTCAGATTTGCATTTTAGATGGAATATCACTTTGGAGGATGGGTGGGAAGGATGAGACTGGAAGTCAGCAGGACCAGTTAGAAAGTCAGTGCAAGTGTAGCAAGAAGGTAAGCTCCATGAGAGCAGGGTTTTGTATCATTTTTTCATTTGTATCATTTTGTTGGTCTAGGACCTGACTCCTCCTTGACACTTGGAGATTCAGATGGTAAAGAATCTGCCTGCAGGTTGGCCTCCAACTAATAAAAATAAATGAGAAAAAAAAAAAAAGAATCTGCCTGCAGTGCAGGAGACCCAGGTTCAATCCCTGAGTTAGGAAGATACCTTGGAGAAGGGACTAGCGACCCACTCCTGGAATAGCAATCTGGAGAATTCCATGGACAGAGGAGCCTGGTAGTGATAGCTTACTGTGAATGATATTGAATTCATGATCTCCAAAGAAGAAGTTTTATCTTCAGAACAAGGACCCGGTTTGATCACTCAAAAGCTTTTGTGTAGAGGAGTTTTATTAAAATATATAAAGGGACAGAGGAAACTTCTGACATAGACATTACAAAGGGGATGGAGAGTTCTCCCCTCACTAGTCTTAGCAAGGGAGCTATATACTTTTTCAATGGGTTATTACAGTAAATCAAAAGAATGTCTCAAGGTTGTAAAGGTCTTACCAGACCCACTCCCAGAATATACATTTGAAGATAACAGGATTAGTCAGAAGGTTCTTAAGAAGGAGAAACATGTCTTTAAGCAGGATACATTGTTGCTATATAATCACTGGTACAGAGTTTAAGGGAAAACATAACCTTGAGCAACATGAGTTGTTTTGTTGTGCAATCATCAGCTCTGGGCTTAAAGAAAAAAACATTTGTCCTTTTCTTCTCCTTGAGAACTCCAGACCCCTATATCCCCCTTAAGAGCCCCAGACCTCTCTCTCCTCGGGGACCCCAGACTTCTTATCAACCTACCTAGGAATTGACTCTCCCAGTAGGCTACAGTCCATGAGGCGGCAAAGAGTTGGACACGACTGAGCAACTAGGACACACAGAGACACTTAATAATTATAAAGATGGATGAATGAGTAGATGAATTATCTAGGTAAAAGAAATGAGGTCCTAAAGTTGGAAAATAGAAATCAGAGTGTAGATGAGGAAACGGAGTTGAAAAATAACTATAGGTATTAGTTTTAATTGAAAATTAATTAGAAATGAAGAAGAAGGAAAAGTCAAGGATGACGCTGAGTTGACTTCCTAGTTTGGATGACTGGCAACAGAATCAATACATAGAAATCCAGGAGAAAGAAGGTTAGAAAGGAAACATGGAAATGTTGGTAAAGGAGTCTGAAACATTCAGATTGAGAATTTGGGGTGATTTGGGGGCCTCTTGATGAAAGTGAAAGAGGAGAGTGAAAAAGTTGCCTTAAAACTCAACATTCAGAAAACTAAGATCATGCCATCAAGTCACATCACTGTATGGCAAATAGATGGGGAAACAGAGACTTTATTTTTGGGGGCTCCAGAATCACTGCAGATGGTGATTGCAGCCATGAAATTAAAAGACACTTGTTCCTTGGAAGAAGAGCTATGACCAGCCTAGACAGCATATTGAAAAGCAGAGACATTACTTTGCTGACAAAGGTCCATCTAGTCAAAGCTATGGTTTTTCCAGTAGTCATATATGGATGTGAGAGTTGGACTATAAAGAAAGCTGAGCGCCAAAGAACTGATGCTTTTGAACTGTGGTGTTGGAGAAGACTTTTTTTTTTTGGAGAAGACTCTTGAGAGTCCCTTGGACCACAAGGAAATCCAACCAGTCCATCCTAGAGGAAATCAGTCCTGAATATTCATTGGAAGGGCTTCCTGGTGGCTCAGACAGTAAAGCATCTACCTACAATGCGGGAGACCCGGGTTCAATCCCTGGGTTGGGAAGATCCTCTGGAGAAGGAAGTGGCAACCCACTCCAGTATTCTTGCCTGGAAAATCCCATAGATGGAGGAACGTGGTAGGCTACAGTCCACGGGG